TATTTTCCAGGTGACACCAGAGGAATGCGTGTTCCTGGACGATCTGGCACCCAATCTCAAGCCAGCTAAAGAGATGGGCTTCACAACCATTAAGGTAATGGTTAGATCTCAGTAGCGCCGTACTGCATTTTGCATAGAAGAACTGATACGAAATTTTAGGTCACATCTCCTCATCAAGCTGTCGCTGATCTGAGAACGATACTCAAAGACATACTCGAATTCCCACCCGGCACAAGGGAGTGTTTACCAAGTTACGTAATTTGTACATTTACTGCGTAACCGCATTCGTTATTAGGTGTCGTACTGTTTATCTTACAAAATGTCTAATTATATTATAAAGTTTTTGAATAATATTGGTGTTAGCTGGGTGATATCACTGGAATGAAAGCTGTGCGAGCAGACCTCCACCGCTGCCTTGCAAAGGGTTAGTCTTCATTGGAAGGGTCTGGTGTGTCCGTATTAAAGGACGAATTCACGATGAAAAGCAACCCATTTCAAATTAACCTAGGGATGGTGAGTGGTACACGAAAGAAGGAAGAACCATGAGAAACGGCCCAGAACCCGAGAAATGGTACCCCTTCCTTGCCCGTTGATTCGAGCATTGATGCGACTCATCGCTGTGCCCTCTTCAACACTACGCTCTCTCAGCTATCTAATCACTATTATGACTCGTACGTATTGAACTAGGCGAGTGATCAGCTGGTCGGTAGGCGGAGATCGCCGGAGGACCCGCCAGCTTTGAGGCATGATAGGTCGCCGAGGTCAAATTTTTCCATGCGAATTGCGCGTCAGTTCGCACCCTCAGGAGGTCCGTGGGTCCCTCAACTAGGTCAGTTTCCCTTTCTTCGACCTTCATTCTAATCGTGAAATCTCCTTTAACATGTATAGGCATCCTAAATCGATAGAACGAACTAAACGTAAAACGCCTACAGTGGCAAATAGAGCCTGCGCGGCATCGCCACTCTTTCGTGAATCCACACCGACCATGGAGTCACGCGTCGGGATCGAATTGCTGGGATTTTTACACCAAAATGAAAGAATTGGTGCAAAGTGAGCCGGTCCGAAGAAAATAGAAATCTGTCGAAAACGTTGAAGCTGAAAGCAACAATCCCAGATTGTTTGATAGTGTAGGCAGCTCTCGGCAAAGAGCTTGTGGATGCCCGAGTTGGCTGAAAATAAAAATTGAAGCAAAGTAAGCCATCGATGAAGCCCTTAAAGGCACAACCCAAACAGAAGTCGTGTGAGCGATTCTCTTTGGCCTGTAGGATAGACTAGTGAAGGACAATCACAGATGGCATTCCTGTGCGCGAAAAAACACACGACAACAGCCCTAGGGTGCAAAGTAATCTTCTGCAGCCGCGAAATTTCCTCTTTTATCATTCTGTTGTTTAGCGCCCTCTCACCTGTTGCGCTCTCTGCCTCGTACACTCCTCTCCGCGCTCAGTCCCTCACTGCCTTATCACCGGAGATTACGACGGCGAGTGAGCCCATAACTTAGGTGTTCTGGAGAGATTCTTTCTTTTCTTTACTGCCGGCCTCATTTTTGCAGTCGTGCGCAAGAGCCATACAAATTTGATCCCGGGGTATGCCTTAGCCTCCTCTCCTTGAAATGAGGGAGGGGGTTCCGGAGTGGTTAAAACTGTTTGGTTCGTGGCTTCACTCACCCTACACCGTCGTAATCCACGTTGTCTGTCATGGGGTGTGCGTGAGGTATCTCGTCCATTAGCTCACATTAGCCGTCATTAGCTCACTTTGTAAGGCTCCTAGCGCCATTGTCGCGCACTTTCGAGCCGCGATAACGGCACAACTGTGATACTTGCAGGGTACTCTATCTCTATACCCACATAATAGGTTAATCGACACGACCTCATTTGGGGTTGTTGCTTCATGAGCTGCTCAGCTAAACGGGAGAGCGTGGTGGACAAGGAGGCGCCAGACACCGAACACTTTGTGGGTCTGAAAAATGGAAGCGAATGAAGCGGTCTTTGCAAAGCTCTGGCACCCCTCTTTCGTCTTTTGGAATTGGAAAATGGGAGCTGTGCGCCCTTCGTAAACGTCTGCCCCAACCAAGGAATTCATCGACGCGATATCATCCTGACACTCACTGCGCACTGTATTGTTAAAAACCTTAAGTTGACGACGGTACAAAATTTCTCCAGAAGGAAAGGTTCAGAAAAGTCGAGATAGAGTCCTTTTGTTGGAAAGGGTTTTGTCAAATGCAACCGTTATTATTTAGGAGAAAAGCTGCCAGAAGATAAGCTGCTTAAGTTCTTGGAACACGAACTGAACATAAAAGATAACAAGCAGTTTGTTATTCGTCGTTTCGGTCACGGTCAATCGAACCCCACGTACTACATCAAAATCGGAGGGAAGGAAGTCGTTCTGAGAAAGAAGCCGGTGAGAGTACTACTT